TCAGCATCTTTATCTATAACCCTTTCGTCTTTTTTCAAGGTCTTTGAAAAAAGGCTTACCTTTGCAATGGCAGTAAAATATAGTGTAATTATACCTATCGGTGCCAATTTCCAATTGGTCAGTTAGCGCAATGACAGGGGGTGTTTCGAATGTACAATACGCGTGCGGTCGCGACGCGTGACCCAACCTAACGGACTAGTAGAAAGCCACACTCTGCTTCGCACATGCACTCCGCTTCAGATATATCAGCAACTGGCAGGTACACTGACTCGTAATTCTTTGAAATCCTCTTTCCAGAAAACTATCTATGTGATGCGACAAAAGGTTAGTGGCGCGTACGGTTGCGATGCGGCTTTGCATAAGAGTGGGTTGGTGTGCCGAAGACTCTACAGAATTATCACAAAAGTACCCGAATTCGAAGACAGCCAAAAGGAGCGATCATGATTTCTGTGGATGGTCGGCTGGCGCAGTTTGTCGACTTGTCTGGCTATCCACGGCTTCCAAGGATTGACATCACTGGTGCTGCCACTTCTGGACTTAATCGGCCGAAACTGTAAAACAGCCGCGAAAAGCGGGTGCGAGATGCGGATTTGTATTCATAGGACGGATATGCAGATTTTCATGTCGAACCAGCCAGCGAAACCCGATGTTTACTTCTTCAAGGTCAGAAGATGTAAACAATATTTGGATGGGGGGGGAGTATTCGGAAGTATATGGGGACAAGGTCCGAAAGAAGCATGAGGAACGCGTCCCGGGCGCAGGGTTTCGACAACGGGGAGGGAGGGGGGGGTGTAACTCGTTCCCGCATCCGATGTGTGAGCCCATTCACGAAAACGCCTTTTCTGTGATTGACAAGATTTCCACACCAGATGTGAGACTCTAAAGTCGGAAGGGCTGATAGCATGAAAGTGCAAAACTCTTATCCTCCTGCGTCGACCGAACCTCCCTTCAATAGTGAAGCCAAGCTCATGATTGGTGACCCACGGTGAAAAGCTGGTTCCCAACTTTCTCGGCCTTGGCTGACCATTCGAAGAGCTCAACCGTATTCGTTTTTCATCTTATGGCTCATTTCCCGAAATGAAATGGTCTCGCAAATCAGGCTTTTGAAGACCTATGTCACCCATCCAACGCGACGGAACAATTTAAAGGCATACTCCGCGATTACAAGTCGTGAGCTTTTGGGCCACATATGGATCCTTGAATGCCAACTGATTTATCAATGAAAGGAAAAGTGGACAAAATCATAGAGGGTCCCCTAAATAAGCTCCCACGATTGGACGAGTATTCGAAGAAACGAGACAATGCTGCGCGGGCGAGGGGCAGGAACAAAGGATGACAGATGAATCCTTCCATGGCGCTCTAGGCCAGCATTTTGTAGTCTCAAAGACTGGGCAAAACAAAGAGCTCTATGTGGTTGCCATACAGAAAAATCGGTGTAAATACATAGTTTATTTAATCCTTTCCCAATAGATAATAAAAAAATTTAAATATTAAAGTCTTTTGAATTGCTAATATCAATAGACTGTCGTGTCCTTTGGCGATTGTGTGAAGTGAAGAGTCAGGGGATTGATTACATTAATTTTTGTTGATGAACGGTTTCATCTCACATTCGAACGTCTTTGGATTTGGCGTGTATGGATGACAGCAACAACGGCAAACCGGACCATTTGGCCTGAAAATCGATATATCGATTATCGTTTAAATCGCGTATTATCAGAATAGTACGAATTTTTTCATAAAAATTAGTTTTACGGTTACGAAAACTGGATTACGGTTGACATGGGTTACTTCTAACATAGATTCTGCATGTGAATATGTGTCCTGTGTAGGGTTTCATCAGGAAAATATTCATTTACACCCCTATTTTCGAAGAAACACAGCGTAAAAACTCATAAAAGCAAGAAAAATAGGAAGCCAGTCCTACTTAGCGTTGTGCTACTTTTTCGTGTTCCGTTTTCCGAATTTCGAAAGAACCTACTTTTCTGGAGACAAATGTTTGCAAGGGAGACACGCGGCATCGAAGCTACTTACGTCATGTCTGCTCGCCTGCGCCCTCTTACCGAAATAGTGCCCGCAGGAATACTAAAGTGGCTGCCAACATGCGGGAAATCAGTTGCTAACTGGTATGTGGTGTCCATTCTAGGCTTCAAAAAGACGTGGCAAAAGAGCTTTACGTCAAAACGAAACACCACATAGGGTCATGAAAAGGCATAGTGGTGCGGGCGAGTGCCCCCCCCCCCCTCCCCACGATTCCTTTGGGCCTCGTAATTCATGCCCTAGAATTGGGTCTTTTGCCCCAAACTTTGTCTTTGAGCATGCGGTATCAGAAGGTAGCCGCTGTAAGGGAAATGGTTTGTGGCTGCCAGGACAACCTCTGGTACGATCCCCCTCCTTCTCGGAGGCACATCATTGGTTGGGGATTTTGGTCGAATCCGTGCGACCTCTCTCTTTTTAGAGAGTTGGTACGGCCCCCTCCCCCCCTGGTTCCCTATTCATGAGCTGGAGGGAAGGGGCGGGGGGGGGGGGGTTAATAGTACATCATTGAAACAGAAAAATAGAAAAGTCAAGCGTAACCTTCTTTGGCCCAGATCAGCAAGCTTAAATACGACCCTCCACAACGGAGAAGTACGACCCCCTTTTACAAATGTTTACACGATTGCCCGTGAACCAAGAAAAATCACAATCAAAATAAATTTTTCTCAGCCCAAATACGACTCCCTCTTTCCCAAGCGACCTAATCGCTCCCCCCTCGTTGTTGGGGAATCCCACAACGACTGTGCCCTCCTCCTTCTCCTCGCAACTCTGCCTCCAACCATACTCTTAGATAGATAGCAATTCGAACAAGGAAATAATGGGGAAATCGAACAAATCCATATCTGCTTTAGCTACCGACACAGTACGACACCCTCCCCCCGCTCGCTCTCTCGCAAATACATGGCCTCTCGCTAGAGATCCTCAAATCGCGACGGGCCGTGTTTACGGTATTCCTCTCGGGTTCTGAAAGGAAACTGTGGGATTCTACATGTTTTTATAAGGACTATTCATTTTATTGAGCAAAAGCTCCTCAAAAATGCTCTATATCTTCAAAAGAACAGATGAGTATTATTTTCTCTTTCGGACCCATTACGTCATATTTCCTTGATTTGATTGGTATGGATGAGTTTAATTAATTTAGCTGCTTGAATTATCCATCCATTCGCTCGGAAATAGTGCAATGGCCAGAGACGTTATGTTTTTAGCTTGTATCTAGACAGGCCATCTGGGTCTTACTTGCGTTGCTCGCTGGCAAGCCATTGGCACCAAATCAGATCTGGGACCATAAGACTCCATGTTATGAGCTCATCTTTAGAGAGATCGTTGATGTACTATTGGTCCATAAAATTAGCTTAGGGCCAGAACACATTGAAATGTCCTGCGATAACATGACGGGAGTAGAGGATGCTAACCACACGGCAGTACGAAGATAAATCACCTGGTCGCTGATTGGTTAAATTCTCTAGCGGTTACCTGTTTGTTGAGCGGCAGTTCGGCTTCGTGGGGGCAGCAAATGGTTCTCAGCGAAGCTTGTACAGGCCAACTTGTGAAGACCTGTGATTTCTTGTGACCAACTCGTTGTGCTCGTTTCTTGCAGTTCCAAACGAGTGTACAGGTCAGTGTACAGTTATAATATAGACTTGCAAACGGAACTAGCGACAGTGCAAAATGCCCCCACGCGCCGATAGTACGCATGAAACAGGGAAAATCACGAAAAGTCAACCACTACTCCTAGAAAGAGCTAAAAAGAAAATTAGTCCACCCCCTACTTCCCAAAATGACAATGCCCTTTACCAAGCCCATGAAGCGAAAAAATCCAACTGTCAAAAACTTTCTCAGCCAAATACGAGCCCCCCCAGACCGTAGTGGGGATCCCACAACAACGATGTGCCCTGTGATTAATTCAAATCCTTTACTGCCTCTGGGTTCGGAATAGAACTTACGGCGTTATCCTATCATTTGAGGATTGTTTGGGTTACTGCTATCGCTCTTTAAAAGTTAGGCCAGCATGGGGTCTCCCCAAAGTTCGCTTCCGCAGATAGGAATATGCTAGAAACTTGTTCCCGAGGTAATTTTCCATTGACGACAAGTACCCGCATGTTTTGTTGGGCAAAAACGCCTGACCACTAAGTTGTGAGCTCCGCGAAATGAGGGGTTTCTTCTGCTTTGGAGATTAAACTGTTTGGCGGTGAGTCTTATGAGGTTTGGTGATTGTGAGGAAGTTTGACTGGCCGTCCGAGCGTTTTAGTCACCGAGATCAGTGTGAGGATCAGCGCACCCCCTGCCTGGTTAAAATTTTTTCCAGATTTGTACTCTATATTCCCTCCTTTGGTGTGACCCTCCTGCCTACCATCTCCTTGGATTCTCCCGATTGCCTACCACCTTTCCGGAGTCTGGAGGGTCCCCCATGAAATGTGCATCGAATGGATGGCAGGGGGGGGGAATTTAAGGAGGAAAATAAGCGTCATTCTCAGACGTCATTTTTGCTCAAACACCAATGCCCCTCCTCCAGCGACAAGTGCGACCCCCTCGCTGGCGGATTCTGACATGTCCATGAGGATGTCATGGCTAAAAGGGTGCAGGTCGGGCGATCCTTGAAGAATAAAGTGCCTGATATGTGCCCACAGATAGACTTCCGCAGAAAGCCTGAGATTTTCAGTCTAGATCCCGAAGAGTGCGTTCACATAAATAGTTCCGGATACCCATAGCCTCTGCCTGAGTAATTTATAACAACAGTCATGGAGGAATAATTGTTCCCGTCTCTATCCACTAGCCAGATCGAATCGAAAAAGTCCCGTTCCAATCAAACTGTCACCGACGAAGCGAAGGCTTTATGGTGCTCTGTTTTGTCGCTGTCGTCGTTCGGGACAACTGCTAATGCTGCCTTTGGCGAGCACGACGCTGTCACTCATGGCTGACATCCAAAATTGCTCACAGCGAGTTTTCGGCGTGTATCCACGACGACGTCAATTAAACAACCCTAAAGGTTTTGGCGAAATGAGAAAGATACTACCGTGTTGGGGAACACATGAAAGATAGTCAAGACCGTCGATTATCTGCTGCATACTTTCCGTGACGTTAGGCAGTTGTATTTGGGGATTTGGCCAGAGTTTACAGTCCGGCATGTATTTTGAGGTGCAGGCCTGAAAAAAAGAGGAGTTGGAGCTCTTGGAAAGCAAAGATATACGCTGATGGTTCATTCGTGTAGATCTTTCGAAAATGAAATGTCTCAGCTGTACCTACGAACGGTAGGGCGTGTAATAGGACATAGATTCGAGTGCTGCCAAGGCGGCCTTTCCCACCAATGACCATAATGAGTCTGCAGCGACTGGCGGTAAAGGCCATCCCGGCTGCGCTCCCCTTACGGCCCTTTACACGCCCTATCGATTGCAGGGTCATTACTGTAAACATCTGGCACGACGTGAGCGATGGGAAACCTTTTGGCACAGCGTGAACCCACTCTCACGCTGTCTCCGGTATACCCAACCCCTTCATCGCCATTTCTTTTTTACCTTCTTAATTTCCATAGGAAATTATTCGATTTGAAGGGGATTAGGACCTATATAGATAATGGGCAGCGAACACCCTCTGAAACTCGCACAGCTCTGCTTGAATGAGCTGGGTTGGTACCTAGCTAAGCTTGTATGGGCCACCTTGTGAGGACCTGTGAATTCCTGTGACCAAAATGGCTCACTCGAACAATTTCGCAGCTTCACAGAAGTTTACAGGTCTAACCATCGCTTAGGTAACATGAAGCAACAAAGAACTAACTGAAGTGCAAACTGCCCGCTCCAAGCCGAACGGCGCCCTATTTTGTGGACAGCTGACTAGAGATACTGCATCACTACCCGTTAATCACTTAGATCTTGGTGCGGAAGCCGCGCTCGTGACGCCGCTCTTATGGTGCCTTCTCCATAGCAATATAGATGGAACGTCCCGTATGTTCCGAAAGGTGAGGTGAGTATATATAGTAGACTAGAAAGGGCTCAAATCTTTATATTTCCCTTTCCTGCCATATATGCGCACCCTTTAGGGTAATGCAGATCCTGTAAGCGTTCCAAATGTGAGCCCTTCCCCTATAATTAACATACAACCTCCTCGTTTAGGACTCCTTGACCAAACTGTGCACTGAAGTCGATTGCGCTATGTACTGGATCTGTTCCAGTTTTGAATCGAAAGTCGTCTCTGTCCCAGTCTAAGTATGGCTAATTCTAGATGCTGAACACTCCATTTTTGGTATCTTAAAAATTTGGCAGGGAAGGAAGGGTACATTTTCTGAGTCCATTAAACAAATCGGTTCCTGGTAAAATTGCTGCTCCCAGAACGAAAATGCTGGAACCTTCCTCTTTTTAAAGGCTCCTAATGTCACCGAGTCCTCGACCACTACGAGGAGGATTGGGAGGAGAGGCGCGGGAGGAGAGCAGAAGAGTGCACCCGTCTTTCAGACAAGCTGCGAATTTTTTCTCAGTCTCCTACCGATATACACACTACAGGGAAAAGGGAGTTGGTATTTCGGAATTTTTCCCTTCGAGATGATGGGCACCGACAACAAGACAGTTCTGGTGCGACCAAGGAAAAGCTGTTGTTAGCATCCATGAAGGGTCAAGTTGTTATCAGCAGCTACTACTCTTCTACTTTGAAGTCACTGGAATGTAACCCAGCTGCTCTAATACTTTCAACTGTGAAATGAGCTCTTGCGACAGCTATGTGCGCCTTCAGCCGCTAGCACTCCTTGAGACGAAGGCAAATCCATGACGCCTTCCAAGCAAAATTCAGACCCGTGGACCGTACCTCATATTTTTTTTTGGAGAGGATGTTTTTGCCGCAGAACGATTTGGGGGGGGGGGGTTGCACTTTCGCGGCTTTCCATTGTTGTGTTCGTTGCTTTGCTAGAGTTGCCAGGTGTTCACTACAAGATTTGGCAATTGGTGTCCTTAAGTTTTGACTGTTACCGTTATGGCTTCACAAGATTTCTTAAATCTTACGTAATGGTTCAACCTCGCCCAGCAGTGAAGTTGCAAAATAGCCCCACACCCCCCCCCAACCGAACAGTGCTGATCTTTTAATTTGTTCTACGTTTACCTTGTTCTGGTCGATGCCCATACATCGGCGCTCAGCCACGAATAGGGGATTGATCATGGCGACATCACCCCTGAAATGATACTTAATCGAAGGATGCGTGCGAATCGGAAACTGAGCCACCTTCGTGAGAATGATTCCACCTTTCAAAAAAATTATTGATTACTAACAGTTCTATCGGTACCGATAAGAGTTAGAGTACCTACCGTCGATGACACTGCCGCCCACAGCTCTGTTGATAGGAACATTCGCCGCATTGTTGCTCGCTAATCGTAATTTCTCGTAGGTAGTTGTAGAAATTGTTGAAAGCCTAGCAAAAACACGATTCAATATCTTTGATGCGTATCGATCGATGCATGTTTAAAGGGATTATCTTGATCGGGTGATCGCTGATCTCAACATAGTATTGTATGGCCTATCGTTTTTCCGGGTCAAGAAACGAAGCGATTGTTGGAAGATAAGTGGACGAAATTTCTGCGCGATTCTATCGGCTTGTCGAAAGGTCAATGACGATGATTCGCTTGATGAGAGTGGTTGTGAAATGATGCGACAGGGACATGCTCGAAAAAAACCGGGGCTATTAAGAGTTGGGTTTCAGAAGGCTTCTTCATCAATTCACCGTTCCCCATCGATCCTTCAGTAAACGGAAGAAGACGTGTGTTCGACATCCTTTTCGGCCAGGCAGCAGCTGATCGAAGTAAGGTCGTTGGAACCTGAACATTCATTCTATGAGACTATGATCCTGAGCGTAAAAGTCCGACTTACCTCTTCTCACTGCCTTTCAGCCACACACAGGGTCCCCATTCGGACCATGATTCACAGTTGGGAGCCTGGATCGGGTTCCCGAACATGGCACTGATTTGGCCATCTGAAGAAAAGGCATTTTATAAGCTGATGCAAAAGAGTGGGCACTATTGAAAGCACCTGTACCGATGGCTGAGATCAACGTCAGCGGCAGAAGCAACCTCATTCTGAAAAAAGGTGCTGTCATGAGATCTGCTTGTTCGCAAAGAAACTAACTGCATCGGAAAACAAAATGATTAGTCATGAAAAAGGAGCACTGAGCTACGAGCTATAGAGCTGATGATGCTGACTGACGCGTGCGTACGCGGCGCGGCACGCTAATTTGGATCGATACTTGGTGCTTTGATGATTATTGATCGTTCGATACCGCTGCGGTTACCCTACTCTGAAATCGACTGGATGAGGGGGGACGGTTAGGACTCCACGAGAGGTCAGCCACTGCTGGCCTGCGACGCGGCATAAGGAGAAGTGGGCCTCGCGATGTTTTCGCTATCTGCGCGGCGTTTGCATAGTCCGTTAGATTTCCAACAGTCTGCTTTATTACTTGCAGGTGTGAAAACTATGGAAGGAGTGGGCCCGATGTGTAACTATTAGTATAAAGCAATGTCCATTTACATAGAAATAATATTTAGAGAATACATCAGCAATCTACAAAAATTCACTTTCAAGGTGAACCCTTTCTTTGCATTCCTTTGCAAGGTATTGTAAAGGCCTAAGATTGGCCAGACGGGAAAAGTAGGTAGTAGTAAGTAAGTAGTAAAGAAATACAGCAGTCTGTTGAATAAATACAGCTGCCATTCAAAAATATTGACGTCCCATTGAATATTCTAGTTTGCAAAATGCCAAGCAGATTACGTGATGCCAGAACTATGTGAGGGGAGAGAAAGAGAAAAAAGAGAAGGGAAGAAAGAACTATGTGAAGGGACCGGGATCTTAATCGCACGACTGTATGCGTCTTGTCCAAACAGGGCACCATCGCCACGCGCGGCGAGGCGAAACATGGCTGCAGTGACCTCTCGTGGAGTCCTAACCTACACCCCTGGATGAGGTCGTGGGCATTGAATAGAAACGCAATACAAAGACTTGCGCAGTTCGGCTTGGGGGGGGGCATTTCACACTTTCGCTAGTTTCTTTTGTTGGTTCGTGTTAACTAAGCTAACTTCTTGCGGAGACCATATCTGAACTCAAAATCCCTAAGATCGGGTAGGCGTGGCTGCGCACTTGATTACTGTCATTTTATAGAACAGTCGTAATCATCGTCTACATTAGACACAGACAGAGATAGCAAGTTGTTTCAAACTGAAGTACTCCAACGAGAACCCGTCCTATACGCATCTGAAAGCTACGCCACCCCGTCTCAGGGATGAGTGAGTGTAGGTTTGACGCTTACCGGGATTAAAAACCACTAAACAATAGGGTCACTTAATGGATTCATGGCTTTCGGCAAGCTGTGACAAAAAAAAAACACTAATTGAAAAAATGGATAAAGGCTCTGGGAGGGATGTCATGATTACCACAATTTGGAAAGCATGACTTCTAAGCTCGATTTCTGGCCGGGTCAACTCTTTTGCTGATAAATCAGGCATTCTTGTGATAGCTTTTGGATCATGAAATGTGGTACGAGATACCCGTTTTCATAATAAAATCGAGAAAAGTCGTAATTATTGCTAATTACCAAGTGGTACTGTAAATGAGCCTGAGGCAACTGAAATAACAATGTGGTACATTCGACGTTATTGCACTTGGCTGAAAGCTCAGTTGTTATTAATGAGAACTGGATAGACGTTGTGACAGGTTCTTATAGACGGCAAGGCCAAACTCGGATCATTCAGAAGAACCCGTTGTGAAGACCCGTCAAAGCGATGGCGACCTGTCGCCATCACCTGGGCCATCGGCGATGTAAGAAAAAATTGACGTTGTTAAAAAAAAAACAATGAGGAAATGGATTCTTCTTAGCATGGAACGGACAGGAAGCGTAGCTGAACGGTGACGATGACGCTCGGACATGAAGTTGGGGAGACTGACATCAACAAAGGTACCTTTTTCATTCAAAAATCAAATAGTTTATATGAGGCGCTCCTACAAATTATACAAAATAGCGCGTCTGCAGTGTTTTTATAAAATGACAATGGATAAGGTAGTGGCGCCAAATGACTTATAGGAGTAAGCCATGCATTGGCTCAAATTCGACTCTGCCAGGGTCATGGCGGATTTTCGCCTCTCAAGATGCGCCACGCGTTTGACTGCATCAGAGTAGCGGGCTTGACTGACCTATGCAACCATTTTTTACAACCATTTGATGCTCACATAAGGGCTTATTCGGTTTCAGAGTACCACTCTGGGTAAAGCATTTCGATTTAAACCGACTATTTCAACTTCCGTGGAATGACCGGGATGAAGACAGGCCAAGTCGTACGTTCTATAAGCAAAATGGGAAGGGGGGGGTCGTAATATGGCCTAGCAAAGTTGCAAGAGGTTAGGCATGATGGTAACAGAGGATGGAAAGCAGGAACGAGGAGGGGGGGTCGTGGCGGGCAGTGAGGGATTTCGAGTAGAGTTTTATGTTTTGCAAAATTTTTCAGCAATGGCACGGCCCTGGGAAGGGGACAGGGAATTGCAGGGAAAACCCGTCCTTCTACATACTAACTCGTCTACTGGCCACTGCCATCTCCTCGATGGGGTCCTTTTTGATGGCGACGACAGACGTGCTGTGCGCGAACCCCATTTCTGCTCTTCACAGACGGAAATGTCACGATTTCCAATAGAAATTCTCCACGGTTCCCCTCGGCTTATCACTTGCAAGTTTCCCTTGATTAGTGTGCCTTTCTGAGATACGTGCGCTGCCGCGTGCCATGGCGGTCTGATGATTTATGGTTAGGTGAATGGCCATCATTTAGGAATCAACTGGCCAAAAAAGGCGCAGTGTGCCGACGGGGGGCGGGGGGCATTCTGCTTTCCATAGATGTGCCAACCCATCTAGGTAGCCTTTTCTCGAGTTGACACGTTTTAGGATGGTAGCTAGACGATCTTGCTCCAGCTTCACAAGCGTTCACAAGTTTTACCAGAGCGAGATTTGTAAACCGGAACTAGGGAAGCAATGGTAGTACAAAATGCCCCCCGTCGACAAACAGCGCCGCAAAAACATTCACAGAGGGAGAAAGAAAAGCTAAGTGAGAGTAAAAACGCGCGGAAACCGTGAAGGAATCTAGGGTATGCCCGTCGTGGTGGTGAGCTACTCATTTGGCTTTTATTCGAGACCGTAAGGGCGTTTGCCGGCATCTGAGCAGCACCTGTCTGTAGTAATTTACTCTACCGCTCCCTGCACTTTTGACTACATGCATCTAGAGAACAGCCCCTCTGTAAGACGAGGAATAGTTCTCGCTTCTTGGAGGGGGGGGGTGCAGGGATGAGGACCATGACTTATAGCCCTTTCAGTGCCGGGACTCTTCACGCTATACTCAGCAACATACGAGGGGGCGGTATAGGTATGAAGGAAGGGCGGAAACTTCTGCATAAAATTAATTTCAATGTAGTCCCCCCTCAATACACTTGATTACCCGGGAAACTAACCTTTCTAAATCCTCTTAAAGTATCTCTCCTTGTCCCCAAAATGTGCTTTAATTGCCGCCTTCAGCTCTTCATCGTCAGAAAATTGCTTTCCTTGAAGATCATTTTTTAGGTTGGGGAACAAGAATTACTCACTAGTCATTTTCTCAATTTTCTTTTCATTTTTCTCAATTTTTTTCAGTCAGTAATCATTTTCTCAACATTGTCGCATCAGTCATTCTGGTCTTCTTTCACCAAGGATAACTAGAATAGCATTGATGATAACTAAATGAAATTTTGTATTTATACCCTCAGGGAGTGTCGCTACCTATTGAAATGATTTGAATTCCTTCGTCACAGCTAAATTACTCCGATACCGAGAATACTTTAAACGGCCCTCGTAGTGCTTGAAACATGCTTTAATGACCAATTAAAGGCAAAGCCCGCGATCACTCGCCATCACAGATAGTGGATTAGGGGTTTGCATATAGACGACAAGGTGCTGAGTAAGTCGATAGTGAGAAAAAAGCAGAAAAACATGCCAACTGCCCTAGATAGAACCCCATTTCGGTCCAGTTTCGTGCGTGCCCAGCCACTCTATCTCCAAACACTACGCCCTCATATGCACGGCTGATTCCCCGATAGAGCACTACGACCGTGCAAGTGGCGATTTTCATGTTTTCCCAGCAGCTTCGTTCTTCACAGAAAGGTAGGCCTCGAAGGCGGAGTCTGGAGGGAAAATCACTGGAAAAAGGAGGCGTCACTGAACCTATATTGCGCTATAGCGCCCCTCCCTTAGAATTTTTTGCCGCGGAACCGACACAGTCTTGTTCGTCACGGATCACACACCCTCCCGACGCCATATTTTCAACTACTGTACCTCATCGCAGACCGTACCTTCAGCTCAAAGGCAGTTCCCGCGCCCAGCCAATTCGTAGTCGTCCCTCTTTGAACAACTAAATTCCGTCCTCAGTCTTTAATATTGCCCCACTTTTGTGGCTTCACAGTGGGGTAATATTAAAGACTGACGATGTTGAAGTAACGGTTTTCGTCCTCAAGGCAGAACTGATACCGTTACGCAGTCCCCAGGAGGTGGAAGTCTTTGGTTTGTTTGGGCGGCGGCATCAATGGGATTTCAACCACTCCAAAGCCACGGGTCGCACTGGTAAGCTTGCCCATTTGCCCATTAATACCCTCGCAGTGACGGCAGGAAAACAATCCAAAATAGGACGTCACAACAAGCAAAACCAAAATTTTGCGAGAGAAGCTGGATATTAAGATATAAGGATGTCGAGCTTCTTTCTTTCTAGTAAAACCAAATATGCAACAAAACATAAATAACCGTGAGAGTTCGAGTTAACAATCAAATCGAGTAAGTTGGAAATGTTTACTTCCAAAGAGATCCGCTTGAGACGAGGATTATAGTAGAAAGAAGACTGACATTACAGCATTCATTCCACGGACACTTCAGTGCTGAAACCACTCTGGGAATCATTTTTTGCAACGGCGACATGATATACGCCCAGCAGGGGAAAAACTGCTGGACTGCGTTGCAGTGGTGGACTGGAACCTCTCTCGCGCTATGACAAGCAAGCTAACATCACCCAAGTTTCTGAGTTTCTCATTGGAAAGCTTGGTCAA